AAAATCCTTCTGATGGGCAATGTGAGATAGGCAAGATAAATGTAGAATGAAAGGGAAGGACTATGCAGCAAGCAAATGAAAGAGCATCTGAACAAACAAAATAAAAATAATCGAACATGCGTTCAACATTTGATTAAAAACCTTAATGGATGGATGGATGGAGCCAATAATTATGAATACCATAAGAAATAATTTTTCAAACGATGCAACCAAATAAAGTTTTAGAATAGTACTGCCAAATCAGGATGAAACTTGGATTATGAGCCCAAAAAGACTACTGCTTGAATGCAAAACAATTTGCTAGTAACTGGCACTGTAATCCTAGTCAATGGTTATGAATTTCCCAAATCTAAGCTTCCAGTGTTGGGAAATCTCACGTCATTGCAAGCACTATTGAAACTTCCCATCAATTCCCTTTTGAATCTCTTATAGAATAGAATTGTAACGACCCAGATCCACCGCTAGCAGATATTGTCCTCTTTGGGCTTTCCCTTTCGGACTTCCCCTCAAGGCTTTAAAACGCATCTACTAAGGGAAGGTTTCCACACCCTTATAAAGGGTGGTTTGTTCTCCTCCCCAATCAATGTGGGACATCACAATCCACCCCCCTTCGGGGCCCAGCGTCCTCGCTAGCGCTCTTTCCTTCCTCCAATCGATGTGGGACCGCCCTCAAATCCACCCCCTTTGGGGCCCAGCGTCCTCGCTAGCGCTCTTTCCTTCCTCCAATCGATGTGGGACCGCCCTCAAATCCACCCCCTTTGGGGCCCAGCGTCCTTACTGGCACACCACCTCGTGTCTACCTCCCTTCGGGGAACAGCGAGAAGGCTGGCGCACATCGTCCGGTGTCTGGCTCTGATACCATTTGTAACGACCTAGATCCACCGCTAGCAAATATCATCCTCTTTGGGCTTTCCCTTTCCGGCTTCCCCTCAAGACTTTAAAACGCGTCTACTAGGGGAAGGTTTCCACACCCTTATAAAGGGTGGTTTGTTCTCCTCCCCAACAAATGTGGGACATCACAAGAATCTATCCCCAAAAGTAGTGGCAACAAAAATTCATCACTACAGTAAAATGGAAGCAAAAAGATCGCTTCGTTTACTACTTCTTTGGTGTCAAGGTTATTTTATATAATAAGCGTTGTCAAGAAAATGCAGAGCTTCAAAATCCTTTAACCCGATCACATGCACAATAAGACACTAAATCGGGATAAATAATAGCAAAGGTACGTGCAATCTTTAAATAACCTCCTATCTAAGGACTTGAAAACACTAACAGAAGCTTTACCAAGGAACATTCTCTTTGCTAAACTTATTTGAGACCCAAACATGGAAAACACCTTTGGGTAATAAGCTCATCCTACGAACAATAAGATTGAAATCATACATTGTGAACTGTGGCTTCCATTAATGATTTGGAAGAGAATATTTGCCCAATAACTCATTTAAATTGTGGTCTATATACCCACCCTCCATTTATAGCCTTTTGACATCCAAGTGAAAAAGCATCTGAAGAGAACTTCAGAAGTGAGTCTTTAATCTCAATGGTCGATTCCACTTAATAGTGAGTGATCAACCTCTGTATCCCTTACTAAATTCCTTCGGATTGTGAACTTTGGTAGTTTCCTTTGAGATGTGAGTCTTAGTATCAATCACTTGTTGAAAAATTTTCATATTTCCATAACCTTATCCAAGATCAAATTAGAATTGGAGCTTAGGTTCTTCCATGGTTTCTTGTCTATGTAACTGCCAAATTGTACACGAGTGAAATTTCCATAATATCAAGATTGAAGAAATGCAAAAACAAGTGAAATGACTAAGTGAAATGACTATATCTAGTGTGATGTCCCACGTTGGTTGGGGAGGAGAACAAAACACCATTTATAAGGGTGTGGAAACCTTCCCCTAGCAGACGCGTTTTAACGCTTTGAGGGGAAGCCCGAAAGAGAAAGGCCAAAGAGGACAATATATTGCTAGCGGTGGATCTGGGTCGTTACAAATGGTATCAGAGCCAGACATCGGACGATGTGTCAGCCTTCTTGCTGTTCCCCGAAGGGGGTAGACACGAGGCGATGTGCCAGTAAGGACGCTGGGCACCAAAGGGGGGTAAATTTGGCAGGGGTCCCACACGATTGGAGGAAGGAAAGAGTGCCAAAGAGGACAATATCTGCTAGCGGTGGATTTGGGTCGTTACAACTAGTTTCTTAATCCAGTAGATATAGAGAGATCAGAAACCTTTGTGAAAGTGAATTCAAAGAGAATTCTAGAAATGAGTATTTTCCTTCAACTTTGTATCTCTATGGTGAATTTGTCATTAAGTGGTGAATTTGTTCATCTCAAAGTCAGCCAACAGGCATTTGATATTCTTTAAGAAACTCAATAGGAAGTATCGACTACAACTTGGAAAAAGTGCAAGGCGACCTTGCAAAGCTTTATAGGAATATCTTATCTTGTCCCAAATTTAGGGTTATCAAAAGGACTTGTACGCCAAGGGCTAACCTAAACTGACTCGAAACTCCAAACTAATAGGTCAAAGTTTGATTATTGAGAAAGCTTTAGATCTCTTTGGATTAGGGCACACGTAAAAGTTTCCCAAGCTTGTCAATGGTGCTCTTCTACATTACAAACATTGTAGAGCACAAATCACAGCAGCAATAACCCTTGTACTGAGTAGGGAAAGATATATCAATAAATCTTATGGATGGCCCCTAATCTCTAAGAGGTTGAAGGTGATTTTGGTGGTAATGGACGAGTATTGTATGCTCATCGCTTTGCACCAGAAGCAACCATTTATGATACAGATAGTATACGTAAAACATATATTGAAACAAATTTAAATTGAATGACGTGAAACGTTAATACAGTACTTCTACCCGGATAAAACTCAGTCTAAAACTAGTATGCACCACTAGAGCTAGCTTAAAAACAAACAAGTCAATATCTAGTTTATATCCAAGTTCAAGCTAGATAGTTATATATAAAGATAACCTTAAATAATACGCTGCAGAGAAAAGCACGATGCTCACCTTCCTCCTTGGTTACTGATTTCATGAACTGGATTCAGGCCAGATGATTGCAGAGGAACGGCATGGCAGCCAAATGAGGAATTTGAAACTACTGGAAATTTCTCAGTATTAATTAGAATTGCTGCAGATGATGATGGAACGCCCAAGCACGTTCCATCAACAAGAATGTTGGGTTTACAATCAGGCGTTCTCTTCAGTTTTGAATTTCGCTTGCTATACTTCAACAAATATCGTTTAGTAGTATCCCTTCTCCTATACTTGAAGAAATAGTGATAGGGCTTTGCAATGCACCTGCACCTCTCATCCCCGGGCAGAGCGGACTTATCTTGTTTGTGTGGCAGTTGATGATCACAACCAGCACTCCTTAACTTAATTGACCTGCTCCTCAAACCATCTTTTGGTGGCAACTCCTGGCAAGCATTACCCTTTATAGGCATAGGATCTTTACCCATGGATTCTCGATTGATTTCTAATGGTGCGACGTGATCTTCAGAAGCAGCTTTATCAAGAGAGTAGCATACACTGTTATGTATCAAAACTCGAGGGGTTTTACGGAAATCGAACTCCTTGCTATTCAGGGCTCCTATCGATGTGTCGCCATTGTCTACCCTCACATTCTCACAGGCCATGTAGTTCGAGTTCACCGAACAAAAATTCTTGGAAAGTCTTGGAGAACTATTCATAGCTCGGTGCAACTCAATTGCCAACTCAGCGTCATCGGTAGATTCCCTAGACTCTTTGGCAGTGCTTTCATCCCTCTGGGCTACCAAGTTTAAGGCGTCGCTAGCCAACTCGAAACCCGTCCTATCAACAGCAGTCTTTTTCAGCGCGTGTTCTCCAGCTCTAACCGCAGCATTACCTTTCTTCTCCACCGAACAATTTGAATCCTTCAGTATTGCAGTCAATGATTTGCAGTCTCGGCTAGTTGAAACCTTAGAACTCTGCAAATCCAAAGCATGGATATTCTTTCTCCTAATTTTCCTATTTTTCAAAATAGCCCTAGCAGTGACGATTGGTTTAGGAACCCAACAATCAATACACACAGAAAACTCAGAACCCGAAGAGGAATACGACCAAGGAGCAACTCTACTATACTGAGCAAAACATTCCGTATGAACCCGACGGTTACAATCACAGCAATTAAAAGAATCGCCTCTGGAATCACCAAAACAGTAAGAACAAACCTGAGAAGATTCGACAAGAGAGAAGCACTTCTTACAAAGAAGAACAATCCGCCACTCGCTGTAGAGGGAATTAAGCCTCGAACGACCGTCAACGACGTCAATACGAAATCCACAAGCATGACATTCCGAAAAATCAGGCAAATCCCGAGTTCTCTTTATCGGACCAGCCGCTTCCGGCTTGGCGGCTGGAGTTAGGTTCAGAGGAACCGAAGAGGAGGAAGAAAGAGAAGGCGGCAACGGCGGTGGCGGCGGTGGTGGCGTTCGCGTTAATCGTCGTCTAAAGAAGGTTTTGTGCTCTTTCTTAACAATTTGAGTGGCTGATTCCATGGAGAGAATTGCGTATGAACGTGAATTGCGAGGAATTCATGGACATCGACTGAATTGGGAACAGAGATTTAGGGTTTATAACGACAAAGATTATAAAAACTAAAATTCCCTATCTTGATAATGGAATCTTCTTCAAATCTTTCTTGATTCTCCCCAGATTTTCCACCATTAGTAACCAAAATCAAACTTGCTAGGACTAGTTCGTTCTGATTTTAGTACAAATTTTGTTTAAATCATTCAAAACACCAAGATTTTCAGTTCCATAATTTTGTCAGTATGGCCCGTTTAATTGCTTTACTTTTAGCCCACAACCTGAAAGCCCAAAGATTATGAACCCTAATTCATTATCCTTTCCCCTTATTCCCGGTTGCCAAACGGGTCGGGTTATTCGAGTTGGGTCGAATCGGGTCGATAGCGCGAGCCGGGTCGGCTTCTTCCTTCTTCCTCCCCGCGACGGTCTTCTCCTTCTTTGTTCTTCGTGGTTGCAGAAACGGCGATTCCTCCTCCTCCTCCTCTTCTTCGATTTTTTTCGTCGCTCGCCCACGTTCCTTCCTTCCTCTGCTTCAGCCTCTGACCGTCCGGCTTTGTCTACGAGCAACAGTCGTCTTCGCCAGCTTGTGGCCTCGAGTTTCTCCTCGGCGTGCACCGTGATTGCGAAGGTGGATTCTTAACGTTGCGAGATCCTCCGTTGGAATCTCTCCCGTGGCGTTGCTTCGACTCCAATAAAAAACACTTGAGGTTTTCACTCTCCTCCTTCAAACTCGCTCTCTCTGATTTGATGAACACCTTGGCCTCTCGAACCTACCGGAATCAAGAAGGAAATCGGGGTGGTTGGTTTACCCACGCCTTCTGTCAGCCTCTGTCCTCCCTCTGGCCAGTGTACGGCCAGCGGCTTCCTTCGTCCTTCCACCTTCTTCTCTTTCTATTCATTTATTTCTCATCTGTACTGGTTATTACAGCTTGACTTATGCACATGCAACTATGACTATCTGTACATTTTCTTTGCCTTTGTTGAATTCGTTTTTATGCCATGTAAAATGTTGTGTTGCCATTTGAAAAAAAAAAAAAAAAATCTGTGTGGCTAAAAGTAGAAGTGAATTGTGTCTATAACAGGAATTTAGAATGGGGAAGCTGAAAGACAACACTATCTCAGGGTTCTTACCTACTGCCCAGGTTTTTGCAGTTCATTATCCTGGTTATCCTTCGTCCAAGCGACGGGCAGTTGAAACTCTAGGAGGAAAACAATCAATTCTCAAGGTACAATTAATAGTTGATATCAAATAATTGGAAATCATTTTGAAATGTCTCACCGTTCCTTTTATTTCGATTTTCGAGTTTTTCTCTTGGTATAAATCCTGATTGATTTGTAAATCTTTTGTTTTCGATAATAAACTGATGCTTCCTTGTGGAAAGAATATCATTCTTTGGAAGTTGAAGTTGATCAAATTGTGGGATTTTTTTCCCATTTTTTTGTTGATTCTCTTTTTATTTAGTTTTACAACGTGACATAATTTGATTCAAGTAATTCCATTTCTTTTCATGCTTAGAATGAATTCCATTAAATAATGTTACCCTCTATTGTGAAAAGTGTATTATAGAAAGGTTAAAAAGAGGACTTTTGCTTCTGACTTTATTTAGTGGAACATCTTGTGTACAGTGGGGAGGGTAATCGTATATGTAGGGAAAGGAGATGAATGTGTAGGGAGAATTGTGAATGTTATCAAAGTAGATGGTAGGGAAGAAGGGTTATCAGCTCTCTTAGAAGAGTTAAGTTTAGTGTTTTGTGAGTCTGAATCAATAGAATAGTAAGGTGATACCTTACACACAATTCTTTTTTCACCTCATCCGTGCTCAACATATCATAAAAAATGTCCAAAAGAATGTGACTTTGCGCTTTGAGGAGGTTATAATGTATTAGAGACCACATTGGAAGAGGAATCTTCAGGAGTGCAAGGGGGAAAGTGAAGAGTGCTAGAAGGAAAGTGAGGAATGCAGTTCCAATTATTTATAGATCAAATTTTTTGTATATAACTTGCTACATTTGCATTGTTTTCTTAATTTAATTCGTTCGATTTCTTTCATTCTATCTTCTTGTTTCAATAATTCAGATTTCTTCTTTAAACCTTATGTGGTGATCTAGGTTCGTGATCTCCAATCAAATAAGTTAGAGCTTCGCTTTAGGCCTGAAGACCCATATTCACATCCAACACATGGGGAGCTTCGTCCATGCAGTTGTTTTCTTTTGAAAATATGTGAGTACATGTACCTTTATTTATTTATTTTTATTTATTTATTTATTATTATTATTATTATTATTTTGAGATTTGAAGCATACAAAATAACTAACTCAAGAATTGATATGATGAAAGGTCACCCAAAAAGTGATTCTACTGAGGGAATCAAGAAAGTTGAAAAAGAAGTACCTAGAGAAGATGAAATAAACCTGGACTTTGAGATGGTTGCTTGCGTGCCTGAAGCATATCATTTTGAGGGTTTGTTGGGATTTTCATTATCTTCTGCTAAGTCTTATGATTTAGGTTTTTGGGTCATATCTGAATATCTATTAAGTTCTCTATTCTAATGTTTATTTCAATTTATTTTAAGGCATGGCTGACTACCAACATGTTGTTGCTACTCATGCGGATGCCACCAAGAGGAAGAAGGGGAGTTGGACAGAAATGCACGAGCCATGTTTAGGTGTTATTTTTGTATTTAATGTGCATATTATTATTCATTTGAGAGGGAAACATGGCTGCTATGAATTGTCATAAATTTATTAAATGAGTAAATGGTAAATTTGATTTATGCAGGGAAGGTTAATGCCATTGATGTGGACAAGGAGGATACTATGATTTTAGTTCCTCCATTATTTGCGTTGAAGGATGTGCCTGAAAGTTTAGTGTAAGGATCTTTTACGTCTATCATTTGGTTATATTAAGTATCTATTCTTTATTTGTACGCTTCCAACATACCTCATAATTTCTTTTTATTATACAATATTAATTTTTTCTGCAATGGTAAGTAAATTTAAATAATCCAGACTATTTGTGAGAGTTTTATCAAATCATAGAGACCATTTATGAGATTTTATCAAACATAAGGATGAAATTCGAACTTTTAAAACCGTAGGGACTAAATTCTAATTTTCCTCAAACCATAGTATCAAATTTGTAATTTATCTAACATATTACTATTTTGTTTTATTTTGTAGGTTAAAAACACCTTCCATGTTTACTCCGAGAAAGAAACAAGAAACTCCACATACTCCTTGTGAGGTAAAAGCTTTCTTGCAGCTAGACTTAGAGTAGAGATTTATTTACTATCTATATTATTATTATTATTATTATGTGCTATTGGTTTTCTCATGTATGTGTCTTCCATGTATTTGTATTTTGTATTGGATGCAATTAAATAATGATTTGTATATTGGCCATTTGCAAGTGTTATAGCCATTATGAAGATGATATTGACTAATATGCTTGTTTCCATGTTTTGCAGGTGGATATAGAACCTGTTCTTGCAATTGATTTTAACATTAAAGATATCCTTGTTTACTTATATGCTACTAGATTTTATTTATGAAATTTTATTTTCTCTATTCCTGCGAAAAATTAATAATATATTTTGGTTGCAGGAGTATTTCTGGTTTCCCTTCAGCCACTTTTCATGCATTTTACTTGTGAAATTTACAGTATGATAAGTGATGTACATGATAAATATCATTTTTTTTATTTTTTATTGAGTTGTATTAAATAGACCATTTAAAATTTCTTGATTGGATCACAGCAAGTTTTAATCAATGATGGGGAAAAATGATAAGTAAAACACCAGAACGAACTAAAACACTGAATTAAAGAAAAATAAAAACCAAACCAATGCGTACATAATTCCAAGAATAGGTCTGAAAAATTGGCCATCTAGATTTTGTTGAATCTTTAGTCATTCGTAGGTTTCTTTCATGAACTGATCTATTTAAGATTATTATTTCTCTATGGTCATCTGTAGGTTTGATACTGCGTGTCTTTATGCTCCTAAAAGTCTTGAGGTTTTCTAAGAGTTGAATTTGTTTACGTGAACCTTGAAAGCAGTCTTTTCTTTTTGTTGTACCTTCTTTTATTGGACTTAACATTCTTACATATTCCAAAGACTGTAATCTGGGAGAAATACGTACCCCAAGGGTCAGAGGAATGGGATTATCAAGTTGCTGTGTCTAATTTGTTCGAGGAACGTCCTATATGGCCGAAGGAGTCTCTAGTCGAACGAATGCTGAAGATGGGCTTAGTTTTTAGACATGGAGTGTTTAGAAGGTTTTGACCTCCATGCTATACTTTCTGTCCATAATTTTTTTCTTTTTATCATCCATAGATAGAACTCGTGTTTGTGTTGTCTTAATTCTTTTTTCAATGTGCAGGCTTCTTTCTAGAATTGCATATTACTTTTCCAGTGGACCTTTCCAACGATTTTGGATAAAAAAGGGTTATGATCCTCGAAAAGATTGTGATTCTCGCAAGTGAGCACTTTGCTTAAATGATAGCAGCTTTTTATATTTTAGTTTCTTCCCTTCGTTCCTCGGATAATTGTATGTAAATACATTCCATGGCTAAGAAATAAACCTGACTTGTAGTTGGGTTTTACTGATTTATGGTTCTTTCTAGGGACACGGTTAACGACATCTCAATGAGAAAGTAACTTGCATCATCTCAATGAGAAAGTAACTTGCATCATCTCAATATGATGATAAACACCACGTTTATTAACAAATATAAACACCATATAAGAAATCATAAATATCATTTAAGTTATGAATTGACTGCTCTGTATTATTTATTGACGTTTTCATTATAACAGATACCAACGGATTGATTTTCGAGTACCACAGTCATTACGAAGTTATTGCAATTCCAATGCTTCCAATGAGTAAGTTTGCTTTTACCATAAATTCTATACAACATAAGGCAATAAGAACCAGAATTTCATAGCAACGCATTGGGGACCTATGCTGATTGGTATTGAAATAGTTTTTCTTTTGTTACCTCATCATTTATGTGTTTCAATTTTTCCTTTCACACAGGATGAGTTACGCACACGAAAAGATATGTGCATTTCAAGTTTTTCCTCACAAGTTTCAAACATCATTACAACTTTTTGAACTTGAAGATGAGTATATTCAAGAAGAGATAAAAAAACCCTCCGAGGAAACATCTTGTTCGGTGAGTTTACCCTCAAATATCACCTTTTACCTTTCTGAATATTATTCGTTTTAATGAAATGGCAAAAGTATGCTCATCTTAACTGGATAGAAGCGAAGAGAAAATGGCTGGATGTTTCCCTCAATTTATCAAGTTTTCTAGTTTTATCATCAAATTTCTCGATTTTGAAATTCAATTAGTAGCAACTTCACGCATCTCTTGGTGTAATTATTTTTTATAATACTTATCTAAAATTCAAAATCTTACTAATGTTCTTGCAACTAAATGTGGTAGGGTATGTGGTTGTATTGTGAGATTAGTCGAGTGCACTCAAGTTGGTATAGAAACTCTTGGATATTGGAAAAAGTATTGCTTAGAACACTCAACTAAGAAGCATTGACTATGTCAAACATCACTTCCACACTTTCTTCGGGACTCAAAATGCAATTGTATGACACTTGTTCTCACTCTTGAGCAAGTCAGCCGATTCAAATTTGGAATGCCAATGATAAAATTGGCCTTTCTTGCAACCTCCACCTCTTGAGCAAGTCAGCTGACTCAAATTTAGAATGCCAACGATAGAATAGGCCTTTCTTGCAACCTCCACCCCATTTTTGCGAAAATGATTTTAGAGCCAGGGTTAGATAAAAGATTTTTGAAATCATTGGAAAACATTTGTTATATGCTTTAACAAATGTAGAAATAATCGACAGCTAGGTATATTTCTCTATCGATAGCATATAACAAATGTAGAAATAATCGACCGCTAGTTATATTTCTCTATAGTACATTTTGAGGCAAATTGCCTTTCACAAGAATAAACTTCGAAAATGGCAAGAAGTTCTATGGCAATAAAAAAAAATAAGGAAACTTAACTATTATGTTAAGTGAAAGGCACACATGAAAGCACAGTAAAAAGGGTTGGAATGAGTATGCAATCACATGCAACGTGCTCTAGATATGTATGACTATAGTACTAGAAATGCTCTGGACATGTGGCTGATGTACAAAAAAATGTGATTTTATTATTAGTGATATTTGTTATCCAAGCAACTGACTTGTGATTTCAAAATAGATTATTAGGACCTCTAAAAACTAGTAAAAGAAATGAACTCCAATTAATTGGGACCTCTAAAACGTCAATGGAAACTCCGATTGTATACAGTAGAAGAAAGCTTAAAGGTCCTTCAAATGAAAAGAACGTGTTTTTGTAAATTATTGAGGATACAGAATGAGAGATCTTGAGTTCAGCAATTATTTAGGCCTCAATCGAAGTCAATGAACAAGTGAAAGTCATTTTAGAATGTTTTGTTTCTTTCCTTTATGTAGCTTTTCATCAGGTTTCTTATAAAAAATAGGACTGAGTATAGTTATCTGTCAAGCAAATAAATTAAGGATGTTTCTATCCGGCGAGTTACTTGTGCTTGAAGATTTATTTAGGGAATCTCCCAAATCATTGGAGATAGACAATTTTGATTGTATTGAAGACTGATGGAACCACGTGCAGTGTGGAAGATCCTTGAACAATTTTTGTTCTTTTTCAGTTTGTTTCTTGCTTTAAAGAAAAAGGGGAAAAAAAAAGAAGACTTTTTTGTTAGGTTCTAGTGTTCTTTCTTGTTTTCTATCCAGAAAGAGGAAGGAAATTTAGAACACTTCATTAGACTTCCTTTGCATTTTTTTTATGAAATTATAAATATGCTATTGTTCGTTTGGGATCTGAATTCACATTTTTTTGCACATGCAGTATGAATCCGGATGGTTTTCTCTGCGTATCCTAAATTGTTTACGACAACGAATCATGATGAGGTTTTTATTAGTGTTCCCAACGGCAGATGCTGAACCTTTACTCAGAGCAGCCTCCGAAAACTTTGAAAAGTTGAAGAGGGATATTAAAAAAGGCTGCTTAAAAGTTGATCAGGGCGGGGACCATCAAGCCAATCCAGGTTAAATTAAAATTCAACACTCTCTTCTTGTGTGTGTGTTTCCCTGTGTTGACCTTTTTTCTTTTTAAATCTTTTTTTCCGTTTGGGAAAGAAACATAGCATGGATGCATGATTGAAAGTAAAATTTCCAGAAACAGTTGATAGGAGAATAGAAATCTAGCTATCAAATTGAAACATAGAGATAGTAGAACAACGACTTATTAAGAGAGACAGAAGAGTATTAACGTGGAAAAAACCATTAGTTCCAGAAATAATATGCTTTCATATTAAGAAGGGTAGGCTTTATGTTGCTTCTAGTTTTCGTTGTGCGACTTCCTTTACTTTTTGTGCATTTAATTAACTTTTGATTAATGAATTGAGGAAATGTTAATCTATTTGTGAATTTAAACTTATTTTGGAGTGAAATAATAGTGGAAATCAATGGGGGATGTATAGAGATATTATGTTGATTGACAACATTTTATGTTCCAACAAAAAAATTGGAACAAGTAGAAAGAGATGTAAGATAATTTCATAGAAACTAAATTTTTTTCCATTCACTAGTCATAGTACAATGTAAAATTACATAAATAACTAACATATTACAGTAACAATAATATATATGTTAACCCCTTCCCAAGTTGTCTCAAGAAGTTCCTAGCAAAATTAGGTTATTAAACAAATTGACCCATTTCCCCAATAATAAATAAATAAAAAACCTCCACATCCCAAGGCAATGAACGTTATTAGAGATTTCTTGTAATGATTAGTTACTAATTTTTACTCAAAATTTTTAATCTCCACCCTTTCTCTTATAAAATAAGAGAACTAACCAAGCCCTAATAGTCAAGGACCATAATAAAGGGCTTAGCGAGAATGGGTTCAGTTCAAGACCAGGTAGCCATACATAGATTGAATTTCCGAGTTTTCTTGACAACCAAATTGTAGGGTAGCTGGTCTGGACCTTCACGAATATTAAAGAACTTAACAGTAATAATGAACTATTTTTCCCTTGTTGGTTCTGATAACAATACTTTTCAAAATTCAGTGAAGCCTATCCAAAGGTTTTGAGAATAAACAGCCTTATTGATTGGAGTGCTTTGGTATTTCCAGATTGAAAACTTCTTAATGGCGTTCTTGTTCTAAATTGTTCATTGATTATGCTTTTCATGATATTTGAGTTAATTGATTACTTCAATAAATAGTTTTTTCACTTCTCGATAAGAAAAGAAACAACACCACGTCTCTGCTATTTCCAATATTTAGGCTTTGGTTTATTTGTCAATGGACATGGTCTTAAATGCTGATTGTGTTTTGTAGCTGTGATCAATGATGACAAACTGGAAGCTAATTCCGGAGAAGATGAAGATGGCCTAGCAGTTGAGAGCGGCGATGAGGCATTAGATGAATATGACGAATTCAATATGGTAACTGTACAGTTCATCTCATCCCATTCATATACTAATTCCAATGTATCTTCTAAATTTTTCTTATTTTGTAGGTGGGTGACGATGACGAGATCTCTCTGCAGTCGCATTCATGTAATTACCCACCTCCTTTACAAATACCGATTCTTTTTCTTCTCGAAGTCTTGTTGTTAGAATTACCTTACTTGAACAAGATCTGTTCTATAGATTGGACACAATTGCCATGAGTTCTAAAGTTTTGTTGTTAGATCTAAGGGTTGATAGTAAGTTGTTTAGGCTGCTTGGTTGAGAGAGAGTTTCTCTTGTTGAATGTGCGTAGTCACCTCATGGTTTTTCTCATCAGATCTAAACATGGACGATGTTTCAAGAACACATTTGCAAGAGTTATTTGGTAGCTTTCCGTCGATGGATGAAGACGACCAAAAATTGGACGATGGAGATGGCAGCGAGGAAGAGTATCAAATATACGAGCAAGATAGTGATATCGACTCTGATGACGACGACTCATAGCTCCCTTTTGTTTTGTTTATTTTTCTCTTGAAGATTGTGGGTTAGTTTAATTTTTATTGATTAGTTTTGCTTAATTGTAATTTTAATAATTTATCAGTTAGTGATTTAGTATCTCTTTGTAATATCTATTCTTTATCAATCATGATCCTTAAGATCTTCTGGGTGTTTATAGTTTCCAAGCATAATGGAAATTTGGAAACAAAACAATTCTGTACCTTTCATTGATTGTTGCCTTCAACTTGGCAGGTTTAAGTTAACGAAACTCTAATTTGATGAATTAAAGTGGCATTGGTGACCCGAATCATATTGTTTTTTAAATTTTGATACAAAATTGTTCTTAGATTGGAGTGCATGTGTAAGGGTTATCGGTTTATATTTTACGAAACAGATGTCGAAATGGCAAAAAAATAAGATAAAGTTGCGCCTTATCTATGTACCTCTCTGGACTTTTAGACTTTTGGCTCACAATAAAGTTAAGACCCTAATCGAGTAACTCGGTCTTATCTATGTACCTCTCTTGAAAAAAGAGCTTCTAATAACAGATAGATACAATAAGTTAGAACCAAACCAGTTTGAGGTAATTTGGAAAATCGTAAGGAGAATAAAAGTTGAGTAAAACTACAAAAAAGAAAAAAAAAAATTGTTACGAAACTAATCAAAATAGTTTAAGAAGTAACAAGAGTGAGTATTAAATAAGCTCTACTCTTACCCTAAATCGTGACTATACATGTCATAAACTTATGAGATGTGACTTCGTTGTGAATCTAATCTTGATGGCTTGGGAGACAATATGGTTTTATGAGATCGATCGTAGGTGGCGAATCTTAAGTAGGGACTACTAGATGGCAAATTCTATTTAGAACCATAACATCATGCCAAGATCAGAAAGGAAGCATCCCTCGTGCCTCCATCTACTAAGTATCCATGTGATCCCTGACCCAACAACACATTGGTTTACGAAGCAGAAGCATTATTAGAAAGCCACGATTCGTTTCCACACACGATATCGACACATTCATTGCTCATTGAATTCTAAACATAAGGTATAGTCCAATCGAGACTAATCTAGGTTTGCCTCATCGATACTAGATCTTAAAACATACCAATTTAGGTAAGTATCACGACATCCCACCAATTTAGGCAAGACATCTCACAAACTGTAGTGAGGAATGGATCACATGGTATACTAGAATGGAGATGAACGTAACGTTGTCTCTGACCACGAAACTATACATAGGAGTTTCTGGATTACTCTCGAGTTCATGGAGTGAGTTGAAATTAGCTTAGCCTCTATGGCACTGATAACTTGTCCTAATTGAGGCTTGCTCATGCTCTATAATTATATTCTACCTAGAACATCCTCCAGGGTGCTTATTCTTGGCATAATTTGTAACATGAGTAAACAAGCTAGAAAAAATATCACTAACGATGCTTGAGTTCATTCATACATACGCCTAATTTTCCCGTTTAGCAGTTCTTATTTGAATCACTCCACAAGATAGCTTCATCAAAACTATTTGAATGACCCTAACATACAAATCTAAATGCAAAGGAATAAGCTCGTGGTTTAAGAAGCATAATATGCCACTATCATTTTGATATTCAAAATTTTCATACTAAAACAATAACATGAATGACTATTTATAACCTTGAAACAAAGCTTAGAGTAACCTATGATCGATTGAGAGGTTGTAACTCTCATGTCCATCAATACCATAATGATTAATAACTAATTGTAACTTAAAACCTTAAAAATAATAGTCTAAAATTGAAAAATACAGTGAAACCTTCCTAAATCCAAACATGTATGGTACAATCTTGTCATCCACCATAAAGTATTTGTGACATGATTAAGACACCTTATTTTTGTATCACAGGTGAAGTGGAGTTGCCATACGTACTCCCCAACTTTGGGCGACTACATGACCTGTAAGATAGGTTCGCCAGCTAACCTCTCATGTATGACGAGTAGGCTAGTACTCATCATGTTGTCCCCACCTGATATAGAGAGTTTGTTGAGATAGCGCCTCAACATCGAATATTGGTTACCGTTGCGCCAGAGAGGGGTGAACTTATCACTCAACTTATCCTCGACGCCATAAAAGGGTGGACTACCTCCTCCAAACCTAGAGGGATTCGTGAGTAGCTAAAGTATCGTTCAAAACTTCGAAGTACTCCATATACTAGCGGCAAAAAAAAAATAAAACTTACCCACTTTTCTCCACTAACCTCTCATCCCAATCCCATCCTCTCTCCTCGACGGACAGCACAATATCACCGTTAGTCCAAAAATAAACATAAAAATGACAGATTTGAGAAAAAAAGAAAGTAAAATGGCTCTCAACATGGCAGATTTATAGATTTTGGTCTGTTATTACCATAAAATCCTATCTCATATTTCTTTTTGCTTATAGTTATGGTTATAAGAAATTAATTTAGGATCAATCTTCTTTCTTTTATGCAATATATTTCCGGATCATGTAATAATCAAATCTCATTTTCACTTATCCAATTAATTAGATTTTTGTTGGCAGTTATATAAATATGTAAGATTAGGCAAACAATCCATTAAAATTGGCCAATAATATCAGTTTAGAAAATAAATACTGAGTTGGAGTAAAGTCTGTTTAGAGAATGAAAATCTATTTACACAATCAAAAAATGAGGTGGGAAGATTGAGGAAAGAGATAATTGGCCAAAGTAGATTAGAGATAGTTTTATAGATTCGAACTTGAAACTGGTGTCATGGGCTCACATAGGTTGACTTGGATTTCAAATGACAAAATCAAACTTTCATTATAAATATATTCGTGACAACGACTTAAGCTAACCAGGTAAGTGGCCTTACTATCGGCATGGTTATATTTGATGTTGACACGTGCATGTGGTTCTGCACGTGTCATATATACTAATATGTGTGAATTATCTGTAAATCGGTATGTAGATATTATGTTTATGTTATGTTATAATATGTGGATTGTATGATAATAATTATGGTACGATGTGTTCAAGGATATGTTTGAGATAAGATACGAGAAGGATGCACAAAACGAAATGTAACGATAGGAGTAAGATACGTTCATAAAACGTTAAGGTTAGGTTACATACTGGAGTGCTATGGATAGAGGAGATTGATGAAAGAATATGGTTAGGATATGGGTAGAAAGGATAGGTTTGTGATAGATTAATACAACGATAGCTTTATGATACGTTCCTGTGATGATATATGACTAAGGTACGTTCACGTAACGATATGACTATGATAGGTATAAGAATGTTAAGGCTATGATAAGTTAGGGAACGATATAACCATGAATTGTTTACGATATGACATGTTTATGATACGATATATTGTGATGTGATATGTTATGTTTAGATTGTTTTGTGTGACCATTGAGGTAATTGTTATATGAATTGCACGTTATGAAATGACATGTTAAGAGCATGGAGCGTTATGTTATGTTCTCTAAATTGTATGTATACAGCATGTTATGAATAACATGATATCACGATAAATGAAATGAAATGTAACCCCGTTAGGATTATGTATGATACGTAGACTGAAAAAATGAGAAATGACATGTTAAGCATGAAAGATAATAGCGGGGATATATTCATTAATGATAAAAGTAGAAATATTGGGGACCTCATGCATTTGGGGGGATACCCCTATTCCATCACGAGGGTATGGACGCGTACATCCAATGGCAAGACAACGATCGTTATGTTTTGCATAGCGTTGCCGTGACGGTTATTAATTCTAACGGTGTCCAGCCTAAGGAGCTCCCCGAGTATGCTCGCCCGATAAGGAAAGTGGCCCAGCGGTGTACGAACTGACTGGTGAGCCCATACTCGCATGTATGGGCTATGTGTAGAGTATATGATACATGTCCAAATTACCTGTTAAGACAGTACTGTAGGAAAATAGATTGAAAGGATAGGTCCCGTCATTGCATTCGTTTGTTCTTGCATTTAACCCCAATAGTGGGGTCATTTCCTGAGTATTTCCTTATACTCAAGCCATGTGCTACTACATTTTTCAGGTTAAAGCAAGACTTTCCTGTACGACTGACAACGGCATCGCAACTCAAGACCATGACACAATAGTTGTATTTATTTTCTTAGGCTTAGGCTAGAATATGATGTTTTTAACTTAAACGCTTATTTATTTTAGTTATCTTTTGTTGTGTCATTTTAAAGATGTTTTCGAAACACGTAAGTCCATAACTGTGTTTTAAGAGAAAGAAATGTTTTATGGAATTTAAATGAAGTCTTCCAAATTCAATGTTTAGAATATGTACACAGTAGCGACCTTAAATTAAGTAGAAAATTTCGGGTCGTTACAGGCTAGACTCAAATTTCTTAGAGTTTAGAATAAGGTTCATGGATATCTACTACGTTAAGATTGCGATGAGAGTCTACAAGTAGATTATTTAGTATTTTTATGCTCACCATTTTTCTTTCTTTTTCAGGTATTCTTAAGCTATATGTTGAGGTGGAGGAACATTTGAGAGCTGTGGTGTCATGGAGGGGTCGTTCCGGAGCGTTATTCCATTTTTGTACTGGAGTCTTTTATTTATGAGTTGTAATTGTACTTCGAACTTTTTTCCCTGTTTGTAATAAATTTGGACTCATTTCAGGATTCAGAATTCAGAATCAGGTTGTGACATGCCCTATGCCCATGAGTCAGAACATGTTTGTATTCAGATCAGAATTCAAAACTTGTTTGTGAGAAAATCGGGTCATGACACGCTCTATGCCCATAATTAAAATTATGATTCATAATTCAAAATTAAGATTTGATGGACCCAACATTCCTTACGACATAATCAAATTACTTTCCTCACAAACCAATACAGGTCCTTTTAGCAAGTTTTGTTCCCACTCAAATGCTTTCAAGGAAAATTCTCAAGAGGTCACAAAACATAAAATTGATCTAAGCTAAACACGATTAATTTTCAAGTTCCTGTCATTGACCCACAAAAAAGGAAGGTCGCCTTGTTGATATAGGTAATAACTTTCAATTCCTTTTAGCGTCTTAGTCATCTTATCTTCATAATCCCTCTCATTCGAGTATGATAACAATTCATTCATATACTACTCATCTGCTCAGACATCATATTTGTGACCTTCGATTTTGTAGAAATGTATTTCATGGGATTCTTTATGTTTTTCTTTTTTTTCCATGTATGTTAATAGTTTTCTTTTGAAACTAATTCATAGTTCACTATTTAAACCAAAATGAAATGTAGAGTAAACACAAAAATAATCTTTTTTTAGAAAAAAAGATCTATTTTTAAAAATGCACGTTTTTTTTTTCTGGAGAAATTAATTTTATAAAAAAGAAATATGTAAAACATTATGGTTCAATGTTTAAAAGAAGTGGGTCATGGGTTTTGAATGGTCAAAGAATATTTTAAATATATGAATTTAAGGTCAAAGAAATATATTCCATTCAAACTAACAAAAAGCTGCGACCATTATACAACGAACTCATTTATGCACCCGATAAACTTAAGTGAACATACTCATGTAAATTCTTCATAATAAACTAGGCTTCTAATCGCCGCTCATGATCCTGAGTACAAAGTCTACTGAAAACGTTTTGATCTAGGTTAACGTGTAAATCGCACTAGTTGTAGTCTTATAATCTTAACTAAGTTCTCTGATGCAAATGCATGCTTCGCTGGGGAGATATACCAATCGGTTACCCAAGCACATAATCCATAATTTAAACTTCGTCTTGATCATATGTGGGAGCTAACGAGGTATCTTGGAATATAAGGGCGGCTAGGTGATTTAATGCAGATTTCTAGCAACAAGTTGATGTGCAGCTCTATGCACAGGTCATGGTTTAGATTGAAAACGGCTCTGTGCACATGTCATGGTTTGGTTAATCTAACTCTAATACAGAGCTACATAAACAGAAATTAAATCTCAAGGAAACAATGTAGCACATTATGTGTAATAGACCAAGTCTTTTTCTTTTTGGGCTTTCCCTTTCGAGCTTCCCTTCGAGGGTTTAAACCGCGTCTACTAAGTCAAAACGCGTGTACCATGGAAAGATTTCCACATTCTTATAAATAGTGTTTTGTTCTCCTCTCTAATCAACGTGGTACATTACATTACATTATGGATTTAATTTTAAAAGAAGTGAGGGATCTAAACAAAGAAGAATATTAATCTCTTTTAAGTCAAAGAACCATATTCCAATGAAAAGAACATTAATCTTTTATCTTTTAAAAAGCATCAATCTTATCGTCTTAAACTTTGATTCCACATTCAATGAGTTCTATAAATACCCACAGCTACTAACCAAACAAAACCACAGCAAAGAAGCACAAAGTTTCCTCATACTATATATCACACTAGGCCATGAGTGTTGCAGTCAAGGTTTGCGGCCAAGTACCGGCTGAGGAGAAGTGGATTAAAATCCCCGATGTTAGTGGCCACTGCGTGCAAGAGGTCGCAAAGCTTGCGGTGGAACAGTTCAACGTTCAACATGGACACAGTCTTAAATACGAAAGCATTCATGAAGGATGGTATTGTGAACTGGGTCAAAACAACCTAAAGTACCGTCTTCATATTAGGGCGATAGACTTTCTTCAACGCTCTCTCTTGTATGAGGCACTTGTGTTCGAAGAGAAACCTAAGTTTGAAAGAATCAGAAAGTTGATATCTTTCATCTATATATTGAATCCTGGACACTATGTTGGGCCGGTAGATCCACCCAAAGTATTGAAGTGGATTAAAATTCCTAATCTTCGAGTGCCATTTGTGCAAGAAGTATCAAATTTTGCAATTGATGAGTACAACAAAAATGGATATGGCATAAAATATGTTGAAATCTACGACGGTTCGTATGCGGAGATGGGTCAAGACAACATAAAGTTTCACGTTCGTATTAAGGCGAAAGATTTGTTTGGACGTTTGTGCAGCTACGAGGCTTTTGTTCTCGTCAAACATTTGTTGTCTAAGAAAATCATGATTTTCGAAGGTTTTAGGATTTGCGATCCAATAAAGATTGTGCCCGAGTGGATTCTAATACCTGATTTGAAGGCGCCTGGCTTGCAAGTGGTTCTAAAGTTTATGTTGGAACAGTTAAAACTTAAATTTGGAGATAGGTTGAAATTTGATAGCATTTATGAAGGTTGGTATTTTGAGTTGTGCCCAAACAGCCTAAAGTATCGTTTCCATGTTAAGATGATAGACTTTTTGGGGCGTTCTTTCAAAATTGAGGTTATTATTATCGAAGAGAGACATGACTTTCGAAGAATCTTGAAGCTGGACTCTATCAGTTTCATAGTAATTCCTGGACCTTCGGAGAAGATGTGGATAAAAATTCCTATTCTTCTAGCACCATTAGTGCAAGAGTTAGCAAACTTTGCCGTGGATGAATATAATAAAGGCGGAGAAGGCCTAAAATTAGTTGAAATCTACGACGGCTGGTTTATGGACCTGGGTCAAGATAACATAAAGTTTCGTCTTCATCTAAAGGCGAAAGACTGGTTGGGACGTGTACGCAACTATGAGGCTGTTGTGCTTGTTGAGGACTTTATCTCCAAGAGAATCAAGATTCTCGAATCTTTCAAGTTTTTAGGTCCACCATCGCTTCCATCCCGGTGGATTCAAATACCTAATCTTAAGGAGCCTGGCTTGCAAGTGGTTATAAAGTTTATGTTGGAACAGATCAAAATTAAATTTGGAGATAGTTTGAAATTTGATTGCATTTATGAAGGTTGGTATTTTGAGTTGTGCCCAAACAGCCTAAAGTACCGTTTCCATGTTAAGATGATAGACTTTTTGGGGCGTTCTCTCAAATTTGAGGTTATTATTATCGAAGAGAGACGTGACCGTCTAAGAATCTTGAAGCTGGTCTCTATCATTATCATAGTAGCTCCTGAACCTCCAGAGAAGAAGTGGATAAAAATTCCTGTTCTTCAGGCGCCATTAGTGCAAGAGTTAGCAAAGTTTGCCGTTGATGAATATAGTTCACAAGGAGAAGGCCTAAAATTAGTTGAAATCTATGACGGCTGGTTTATGGACCTGGGTCAAGATAACATAAAGTTTCGTCTTCATCTTAAGGTGAAGGACTGGTTGGGACGTATACGCAACTATGAGGTTGTTGTGCTTGTTGAGCAATTTTTCTCCCAGAGAATCAAGATTCTTGAATCTTTCAAGTTTTTAGGTCCACCGAGTGTACCCAAGTGGATTCAAATACCTAATCTTAAGGAGCCTGGCTTGCAAGTGGTTATAAAGTTTATGTTGGAACAGATCAAAATTAAATTTGGAGATAGTTTGAAATTTGATTGCATTTATGAAGGTTGGTATTTTGAGTTGTGCCCAAACAGCCTAAAGTACCGTTTCCATGTTAAGATGATAGACTTTTTGGGGCGTTCTCTCAAATTTGAGGTTATTATTATCGAAGAGAGACGTGACCGTCTAAGAATCTTGAAGCTGGTCTCTATCATTATCATAGTAGCTCCTGAACCTCCAGAGAAGAAGTGGATAAAAATTCCTGTTCTTCAGGCGCCATTAGTGCAAGAGTTAGCAAAGTTTGCCGTGGATGAATATAGTTCAAAAGGAGAAGGCCTAAAATTAGTTGAAATCTATGACGGCTGGTTTATGGACCTGGGTCAAGATAACATAAAGTTTCGTCTTCATCTTAAGGCGAAAGATTGGTTGGGACGCATCCGCAACTATGAGGCTGTTGTGCTTGTTGAGCACTTTTTCTCCAAGAGAATCAAGATTCTCGAATCTTTCAAGCTTCTCGGTCCACTGGTTCCAGGCGAGTGGATTCCAATACCTAATCTCAAGGAGCCTGGCTTTCAAGTGGTTATAAAGTTTATAGTTGAGCAGCTCAAAATTATATCCGGAGATTGTTTGAAATTCGATAGCATTTATGAAGGTTGGTATTTTGAGCTGTGCCCAATCAGCCTAAAGTTCCGTTTGCATATTAAGGCGATAGACTTTCTGGGACGTTGTCTCAATTATGAAATTATTATTGTCGAAGAGAAACGAATTTTCAAGATGGAATCTATCATCGTCATATCGTCTCCTGGACACTGCGTTGGGCCTGTGGATCCACCCAAGGTCGAGAAGTGGATTAAAATCTGTAATCTTCAGTTTTCGTTCGTGCAAGAGGTATCAAAGTTTGCGTTGGATGACTTCAACGTTAAATCTGGAGATAGCCTCAAATACGATGGCATTTACGATGGTTGGTATATGGAGATGGGTCAAGACAACATAAAGTTTCGTATTCATTTAAAGGCAAAAGACTGTCTGAGTCGTGTGCACCACTATGAAGCTCATGTGTTTGTAAAGAACTTTCTCGGTCAAAGAATTAAGATCGTCGAATCTTTCAAGCTTATCGAAAGGAAGTGTTAGAAACTCCCCTCTTCGTATCATGTAACATGCGAGGGTTACTAAAAACCGCATGGCTATCTATAAAGAAATAGTCATGCGAGAATGAAATAAATCTTTTTTAAGTATACATTCTTCCGTGCCCAACATCATACATCTATCAATCTTTTATATTACGAAGTCTTCCTTATTAGATTAATCGATAATTAAAGTTTAACATACGAAAGAGGGGTTCAAGATGAATTAAGTGTCGATAAAATAGATATGGGAATTATTTTTATGATGGGTAGCTTATAGGATTTGGATTTAATATGATCAATTTCAGAACCTTCCTTGGAAAATGTAAGCAAAAAGGCAAAGAAGATGATTGAATGTTAATGCTAGACGGGTTGAAAACGATATGACAGTGGACGAGCTATGTGTAACACACGAGCTCGAGAAGTATGGAATTTTTTGATATTCTATTAAATTTTAAAATTGTCAAATTTTATTGAGGACCTTAGAGGACCAATATCCTAAAATACTTGGAAGAATCCCACGAACTCAAGAAAAAGGGAATAAAGTCAACTTTGGAGGGTAAAACGGTCTTTTCAGCCCCTCGCTATTTAAGGGGTCGGTGTTACCCTAATACAACCTTAATTAGGTGGAGGAAGAGGAATATAATTTAACAACCCACCCACGGCCAGATGACAGTCAAACTTCCAGTTTTTCTTTTAAAACTATAATTTTTTAGATTTTATTGCATCCTGACGGCCCAATCTCAAGATAACCATGAAAAAAAACCCCGAAAAATTGAAAAATGTTGGCGAAGTAAACTCGAAAGGGTAATTTTGTCATTCTGCCACTCATTTAATTAAGATTTTATAAAGGTAACCATTGGGGAGCTCCCGATCCAATCACTTAGAGTTCGATTTCGGCAAATTTCCTTCACAAAAGTACTCGGAACCACGAGGACATTCAATCTGAACATTTAAAAAATCGTCTAAATCCATTAAGAAACGAGGAAGATCGGGAGATAAGAGATTCAGATTTTCGTTCTCTGTATTTCTCAAGATTTGTGAATTTTCAATTAATTAGGTTATGAAATTTAAGAACGGTGTTCCATGAAGAATTTCACATACTTTTTGTGAAGAAATCTTTAGAGAAACTGCACTGAAGTCAAATTTACAACGAATCTCAAAGATGTAGTTTTGCACCTATTTATAAAATAACTATGTGTCTCTATGATTAACGAAATGGATTTTAAATTGTTTTGATGGAAAATTGGATTAAAACTCTTGAAGAAACCGAGTTGAATTGAGTTAAGTTGAAAAGTTTAGGAGAAAAAAGAATAATAATAATAAAACAAGATTGAAGGAGACACCATCATGAACCTAATGGGAGATGCGTTGGCCAAAAGCATTGGACGCACATCAAACGGCTAGGCAAGAAACACATCTGCCAATGCTTGGGCACGTGTCGATCAATAAGCGGAGGAATGCTTCAGCGCTTGATGGGGACACGTGTCGCATCATCAGAGGGAGGCTCGAACCATGCTCCAAACTAATTCACTCCACACTTGCACCAATCTAACTTGACCTGACTCAACATGGAAAACACCTATGTGTGTGCATCATGTGTCGCGACAAGAACACGTGTAGTCCTCCCTTAGGCGCATTTGTACTCACAAAGGGGTTGCGCGAATAGAAGTTGTTCAGCTGTGCGTGAAGTTGGTAAGAGCGTTTAAGGTGGTTTTTCAGGCCTGTTTCGTTTCTCGTTAGACTGTTTTCACCCCAATTTTATATTGACCTTAATTATTTGAATTAAGACCCGCGAGTAGAATTTTAGAATTTTTGAGCTTCTAACTAGCGAAAAAGCTAGCTTAAAAAGGCATGCACAATTTAAGGAAGTAGTCCTTACGGATGCTTCTCAAGTAAGAGTTGTGCAAATATTGCTGGTTTGTACTAGCATGCAAGCATCTATTGCCCAAAGGGGCTAAAATAGGTAGGGGAGAACTCTAGAAAGACAACTTGGATGTGAATGTTATGTATGTTAAGAAAAACTAGTGAAATGAAGGTAGAGTAAAAATTTAAATTGCATGTCTATTTTAAGGCTCTCAAGGGAGGAGATGTTTGGGATTTGTGCTCGAGGTTGTTCATGAATGTTATCAATTGGTTGAGCTTGTATGAACGTTTACATTATGCTTTCCATCATTTAGGTGATTGATAGGAATATCTCCCAACCAAACCATGCATGAGTGAACAAAGTTAACATTATGGTTCTAGAGCTTGTGCATTTTTTACATTGACCTAGGTCATTACGTTTCTAAGAGACCAAGCACCTTAGAATTGTGAGCGACCATTAGAGGTCTAGACTAGAGTGCATCCATAGATTGGATTAACCATGAGGATCTAAATTCGAGCCTCCTAAAAACATGAGATGAGATTTAAACTGTCTAGACAACCCTAAAAACCTAGTAAACCTCCACGACAAAGACGACTATGAAAACTTAACAAGCCTAGTAGTAGGGTCACAAAAGTCTCTGTCTCCTATCTTCTTCGGCATGCCTTTAGCGCTAGCATCGCCAGCCAAGTGGTAGGAGGTTCAGAACCATTGAGAAAGGCATAGGTTGAATATTATAGTGTGTGGTGCCGTATATGGTGGAAATGTTTAGGGTTCTCCTAAAATGGAACTCTGTGCTGTAAAACCATCCTAGGAGGGGGCGTGTGACCACACATGAAACCAAGGAACGAGCAAGCATACAAGGTCGTATCCCCACGTTTAGAATAACTCTATGGCCCTAGGGAAGGGTTTGCTAATTAATCTTCCATAGATGATGTTCACACTAGCTAGATGTCATACTATGCTAATAAATTTGATGAGGTAGCAATTCAACAAGATTACTAGTAATTTGTTGGTGTAGCTATACATGTTAACTAAGTCTATGAATAGGAAATAAATTCAACTGGAGATGAGATTTATCGTCTAGTAGACCTGCGACGTTAGAAATGGGTGAACCACCTCTAGACCCATAGTAGGTTTGTGATGGTCATGAGATTGGTTCGAAAGTTTGAGGCCTTCCCATAAGCTCAAAATATCTAATTTAATTTGGTCAATTCTTCTTAACGCTCAGAGAAACCTCCGTTGTAACTTACCAGGATAAGAGTAGTTACTTATTGAACATTTTTATACCCATCTCTTTCTCCATTTTTCTCCGATGTTCACAGGTTACTAGTCAAGGTAGTGGAGCGTTCAAGAGCTGTCCGGTCAAACAAGGGTAGTCTTGGAGTGTCAATCCATCTTAATATTTTGGGTCTTCTATATTTTGTTTGAAGTTGTATCTTGAACCCATATTCCTTTTGTAATAACTCTGACTTAGATTTATTTAAATGGTGCCCTAGTTTGGTTATTAAAAATTTAACCTTATTTTTATTATTATGTATTTAAAATTTTACTCTTATTATATTATACTATATTTTTATTTTATTTTATCTCGTCCTTTTAACCACGGATTTTAAGTCTCGAAAAGAGGGTCATGATTGTAAAAAAAGAAGAAACGGGGAAAGAGGAGAGGTTTGATTTTCTTATACGAGGAGAGGTTCGATTTTCTTATACAAAAAATGAGAAAAATTGTCTTCAACTTTCATATCCAACAGGTTCGATAAGTTTTTTGGCCAAGTATCCTTACAAAAAAAATTTCGAATGATGTTTTCTATTGACCTAGGCTTTTGAAGCATCGAAATCGATCAAAAATCAAGGAAGAATAAAAGGTATGATTGATGGGTTCAAGAATACCATTTTCCTTAGGTTCGACCATTTAGGCGTTGGAACACTTCTCAAATTATTTCATTTGGTTTAAGAGAATATTTGAAATAAATTTTGTGTAGGAAGTGGACAGAGAAGATGCTTGGAAGATCTGTTTTCAATTAGGGTCCAAGAACGGTAAGAATTAAAAAAAAAAAGGCAACTTTGAATGCACTTGACATAATTGAAGGAAATTAATTTTTTTTTAGGTTGGTAGATTGAAACTCTTCAAATTTGATAGAGGACTTGTTTGAATAAGTTACGTAGGATGTTGGTCATTCACTTTCGAGTAAAAGTAAGATGCTCCAGTATAAGTATAGAAAGGTTCAGTAACCTATCTAGACCTCGAAGGAAAGAGACGGACTAGAAAACCGCTCGAAATTTTGAGGCCTCCCAAAGACTTAGACAACCATAGAGATTAGGCCCAAACTTTTTGGAGCCAAGAGGAAACCTCGTGGATACATACTAGGTTAATGATTTGATGAGACCGTACAAGTAGGTTACTTACTCAGGGTTCTTATACTAGCCCATTTTCCTTTTTTTTTTTTTTTCTCGTGTTTGCAGGTAGTCAAATGAAGTGGGAGAATATTCAAGATCTGTGCAGTCAAGGAGTGGTCATCCCAGAGCATCGTTATTAAATCTTTCCATATTCATCCTTAACATATATTTCTTACATGTTATTTTTTTTTAATCTATTTATTTATTTTTATTTTGCTGCTCTACAATGTTTTTGTATGAGATTTCAAAAAAACATGGCTTTAATTATTATTTTCTAGATATTATTTTTAAGACTATATTATGCTTTCTTTTCATGCATCGAGTAATATACGGGTACGTTATACCAAACATCTAAACATTGTATTACATTTTACAATTAAAAGTTAACGGTGAAATAAGTAATGAATGATAGAAGCACACTTAAACTATACGTTTTTTATAAAGCCTAAAAAATTTAAGTTGACACAGTATAAGAAAAATGTTCAAGTTGTAAACGAGCTATTTATTGCGTATATTTATATTCTCACTCGCTCTACTTTTTCGTTCTTGTATATGGAACTTGAGTATCGATTGACGATGATGGCATGAAGGAGTTAGTACACTATGGAGTCTAATGAGTTGATATAGTTTTTGTTCTCGAATTGGGAGGTCGTGTAAAGCGGTTTTGAATTGTATAGTATTTGGAACCTTGATTTTGAAACTAATTTATTTTACACTTATTTGAAGTAATAACCCATCATCTACTTAGAGAGATCGGATTGATGTACTAAAGGTTTCGTGTATAAATTTAAACAAAAATGAAATGTAGAGTAAACACAAAAATAATCTTTTTTTTTTTAGAAAAAAAGATCCATTTTTAAAATTGCACGTTTTCTTTTTTTCTCGAGAAATTAATTTTTTAAAGAAGAAATATGTAAAACATTATGGTTTAATGTTTAAAAGAAGTGGGTCATGGGTTTTGTATGGTCAAAGAATATTTTGAGTATATGAATTTAAGGTCAAAGAAATATATTCCATTCAAACCAACGAAAAGCTGCAAGCATCATAGAAAGAACTCATTTATGCACCCGATAAACTTAAGTGAACATACTCGATGTAAATTTTCCATAATAAACTAGACTTCTAATCGCCGCTCATGATCTTGGAGTGCAAAGTCTACTGAAAACATTTTGATCTAGGTTAACGTGTAAATCGCACTAGCTGTAGTCTTATAATCTTAACTAAGTTCTCTGATGCAAATGCATGCTTTGCTAGGGAGATATACCAATCGGTTATCCAAGCACATAATTCATAATTTAAACTTCGTCTGGATCATATTTGGGATCTAAGGAGATATCTTGGATTTTAAGGGCGGTTAGGTGATTTAACGCAGATTTCTAGCAACAAGTTGATGTGCAGCTCTGTGCACAAGTCGTGGTTTAGATTGAAGACGGCTCTGTGCACAGGTCATGGTTTGGTTAACCTAACTCTAACGTAGAGCTACATAAACATTAATTAAGTCTCAAGGAAACAATGTAGCACATTAGGTGTAACAGACCAAGTCTTTTCCTTTTTGGGCTTTTCCTCTCGAGCTTCCCTTCAAGGGTTTAAACCGCGTCTACTAAGTCAAAACGCGTGTACCATGAAAAGATTTCCACATCCTTATAAATAGTGTTTTGTTCTCCTCTCTAACAACGTGGTACATTACATTACGTTATGGATTTAATTTTAAAAGAAGTGAGTGATCTAAACAATGAAGAATATTAATCTCAAGTATAACAATCTTGTAAGTCAAAGAACCATATTCCAATGAAAAGAACATCAATCTTATCTTTTAAAAAGCATCAATCTTATCGTCTTAAACTTTGATTCCACATTCAATGAGTTCTATAAATACCCACAGCTACTAACCAAACAAAACCACAGCAAAGAAGCACAAAGTTTCCTCATACTATATATCACACTAGGCCATGAGTGTTGCAGTCAAGGTTTGCGGCCAAGTACCGGCTGAGGAGAAGTGGATTAAAATCCCCGATGTTAGTGGCCACTGCGTGCAAGAGGTCGCAAAGCTTGCGGTGGAACAGTTCAACGTTCAACATGGACACAGTCTTAAATACGAAAGCATTCATGAAGGATGGTATTGTGAACTGGGTCAAAACAACCTAAAGTACCGTCTTCATATTAGGGCGATAGACTTTCTTCAACGCTCTCTCTTGTATGAGGCACTTGTGTTCGAAGAGAAACCTAAGTTTGAAAGAATCAGAAAGTTGATATCTTTCGTCTATATATTGAATCCTGGACACTATGTTGGGCCGGTAGATCCACCCAAAGTATTGAAGTGGATTAAAATTCCTAATCTTCGAGTGCCATTTGTGCAAGAAGTATCAAATTTTGCAATTGATGAGTACAACAAAAATGGATATGGCATAAAATATGTTGAAATCTACGACGGTTCGTATGCGGAGATGGGTCAAGACAACATAAAGTTTCACGTTCGTATTAAGGCGAAAGATTTGTTTGGACGTTTGTGCAGCTACGAGGCTTTTGTTCTCGTCAAACATTTGTTGTCTAAGAAAATCATGATTTTCGAAGGTTTTAGGATTTGTGATCCAATAAAGATTGTGCCCGAGTGGATTCTAATACCTGATTTGAAGGCGCTTGGCTTGCAAGTGGTTCTAAAGTTTATGCTGGAACAGTTAAAACTTAAATTTGGAGATAGGTTGAAATTTGATAGCATTTATGAAGCTTGGTATTTTGAGTTGTGCCCAAACAGCCTAAAGTATCGTTTCCATGTTAAGATGGTAGACTTTTTGGGGCGTTCTTTCAAAATTGAGGTTATTATTATCGAAGAGAGACATGACTTTCGAAGAATCTTGAAGCTGGACTCTATCAGTTTCATAGTAATTCCCGGACCTTCGGAGAAGATGTGGATAAAAATTCCTATTCTTCTAGCACCATTAGTGCAAGAGTTAGCAAACTTTGCCGTGGATGAATATAATAAAGGCGGAGAAGGCCTAAAATTAGTTGAAATCTACGACGGCTGGTTTATGGACCTGGGTCAAGATAACATAAAGTTTCGTCTTCATCTTAAGGCGAAAGACTGGTTGGGACGTGTACGCAACTATGAGGCTGTTGTGCTTGTTGAGGACTTTATCTCCAAGAGAATCAAGATTCTCGAATCTTTCAAGTTTTTAGGTCCACCGTTGCTTCCACCCCGGTGGATTCAAATACCTAATCTTAAGGAGCCTGGCTTGCAAGTGGTTATAAAGTTTATGTTGGAACAGATCAAAATTAAATTTGGAGATAGTTTGAAATTTGATTGCATTTATGAAGGTTGGTATTTTGAGTTGTGCCCAAACAGCCTAAAGTACCGTTTCCATGTTAAGATGATAGACTTTTTGGGGCGTTCTCTCAAATTTGAGGTTATTATTATCGAAGAGAGACGTGACCGTCTAAGAATCTTGAAGCTGGTCTCTATCATTATCATAGTAGCTCCTGAACCTCCAGAGAAGAAGTGGATAAAAATTCCTGTTCTTCAGGCGCCATTAGTGCAAGAGTTAGCAAAGTTTGCCGTTGATGAATATAGTTCACAAGGAGAAGGCCTAAAATTAGTTGAAATCTATGACGGCTGGTTTATGGACCTGGGTCAAGATAACATAAAGTTTCGTCTTCATCTTAAGGTGAAGGACTGGTTGGGACGTATACGCAACTATGAGGTTGTTGTGCTTGTTGAGCAATTTTTCTCCCAGAGAATCAAGATTCTTGAATCTTTCAAGTTTTTAGGTCCACCGAGTGTACCCAAGTGGATTCAAATACCTAATCTTAAGGAGCCTGGCTTGCAAGTGGTTATAAAGTTTATGTTGGAACAGATCAAAATTAAATTTGGAGATAGTTTGAAATTTGATTGCATTTATGAAGGTTGGTATTTTGAGTTGTGCCCAAACAGCCTAAAGTACCGTTTCCATGTTAAGTTGATAGACTTTTTGGGGCGTTCTCTCAAATTTGAGGTTATTATTATCGAAGAGAGACGTGACCGTCTAAGAATCTTGAAGCTGGTCTCTATCATTATCATAGTAGCTCCTGAACCTCCTGAGAAGAAACCGTCTAAGAATCTTGAAGCTGGTCTCTATCATTATCATAGTAGCTCCTGAACCTCCTGAGAAGAAGTGGATAAAAATTCCTGTTCTTCAGGCGCCATTAGTGCAAGAGTTAGCAAAGTTTGCCGTGGATGAATATAGTTCAAAAGGAGAAGGCCTAAAATTAGTTGAAATCTATGACGGCTGGTTTTGCCGTGGATGAATATAGTTCAAAAGGAGAAGGCCTAAAATTAGTTGAAATCTATGACGGCTGGTTTATGGACCTGGGTCAAGATAACATAAAGTTTCGTCTTCATCTTAAGGCGAAAGATTGGTTGGGACGCATCCGCAACTATGAGGCTGTTGTGCTTGTTGAGCACTTTTTCTCCAAGAGAATCAAGATTCTCGAATCTTTCAAGCTTCTCGGTCCACTGGTTCCAGGCGAGTGGATTCCAATACCTAATCTCAAGGAGCCTGGCTTTCAAGTGGTTATAAAGTTTATAGTTGAGCAGCTCAAAATTATATCCGGAGATTGTTTGAAATTCGATAGCATTTATGAAGGTTGGTATTTTGAGCTGTGCCCAATCAGCCTAAAGTTCCGTTTGCATATTAAGGCGATAGACTTTCTGGGACGTTGTCTCAATTATGAAATTATTATTGTCGAAGAGAAACGAATTTTCAAGATGGAATCTATCATCGTCATATCGTCTCCTGGACACTGCGTTGGGCCTGTGGATCCACCCAAGGTCGAGAAGTGGATTAAAATCTGTAATCTTCAGTTTTCGTTCGTGCAAGAGGTATCAAAGTTTGCGTTGGATGACTTCAACGTTAAATCTGGAGATAGCCTCAAATACGATGGCATTTACGATGGTTGGTATATGGAGATGGGTCAAGACAACATAAAGTTTCGTATTCATTTAAAGGCAAAAGACTGTCTNAAATACCTAATCTTAAGGAGCCTGGCTTGCAAGTGGTTATAAAGTTTATGTTGGAACAGATCAAAATTAAATTTGGAGATAGTTTGAAATTTGATTGCATTTATGAAGGTTGGTATTTTGAGTTGTGCCCAAACAGCCTAAAGTACCGTTTCCATGTTAAGTTGATAGACTTTTTGGGGCGTTCTCTCAAATTTGAGGTTATTATTATCGAAGAGAGACGTGACCGTCTAAGAATCTTGAAGCTGGTCTCTATCATTATCATAGTAGCTCCTGAACCTCCTGAGAAGAAGTGGATAAAAATTCCTGTTCTTCAGGCGCCATTAGTGCAAGAGTTAGCAAAGTTTGCCGTGGATGAATATAGTTCAAAAGGAGAAGGCCTAAAATTAGTTGAAATCTATGACGGCTGGTTTATGGACCTGGGTCAAGATAACATAAAGTTTCGTCTTCATCTTAAGGCGAAAGATTGGTTGGGACGCATCCGCAACTATGAGGCTGTTGTGCTTGTTGAGCACTTTTTCTCCAAGAGAATCAAGATTCTCGAATCTTTCAAGCTTCTCGGTCCACTGGTTCCAGGCGAGTGGATTCCAATACCTAATCTCAAGGAGCCTGGCTTTCAAGTGGTTATAAAGTTTATAGTTGAGCAGCTCAAAATTATATCCGGAGATTGTTTGAAATTCGATAGCATTTATGAAGGTTGGTATTTTGAGCTGTGCCCAATCAGCCTAAAGTTCCGTTTGCATATTAAGGCGATAGACTTTCTGGGACGTTGTCTCAATTATGAAATTATTATTGTCGAAGAGAAACGAATTTTCAAGATGGAATCTATCATCGTCATATCGTCTCCTGGACACTGCGTTGGGCCTGTGGATCCACCCAAGGTCGAGAAGTGGATTAAAATCTGTAATCTTCAGTTTTCGTTCGTGCAAGAGGTATCAAAGTTTGCGTTGGATGACTTCAACGTTAAATCTGGAGATAGCCTCAAATACGATGGCATTTACGATGGTTGGTATATGGAGATGGGTCAAGACAACATAAAGTTTCGTATTCATTTAAAGGCAAAAGACTGTCTCAGTCGTGTGCACCACTATGAAGCTCATGTGTTTGTAAAGAACTTTCTCGGTCAAAGAATTAAGATCGTCGAATCTTTCAAGCTTATCGAAAGGAAGTGTTAGAAACTCTCCTCTTCGTATCATGTAACATGCGAGGGTTACTAAAAACCGCATGGCTATCTATAAAGAAATAGTCATGCGAGAATGAAATAAATCTTTTTTAAGTATACATTCCTCCGTGTCCAACATCATACATCTATCAATTTTTTATACTATGAAGTCTTCCTTATTAGATTAATCGATAATTAAATGTAAGGACCCGAAATTTTCTACTTAATTTAAGATCGCTACTGTATACATACCATAAATATTGAATGCGGAAGACTTCGTTTACATTTCATAAAACATAACTTTTATCTTAAAACACAGTCATGGACTTACGTGTTTCGAGAACATCTTTAAAACGACACATCAAAAGACTAAACAAAATGAATAAGAGTTTAAGTTAAAAACATCCTAGTCTAGCCTAAGTCTTAGAAAATAAATACCACTACCCTATGCATGTGCCATGGGAGTTGCGATGCCGTCGTCAGCCGTACGGGAATGCCTTGCCTTAACCTGAAAAATGTAGTAGCACGAGGCTTGAGTATTTCTAGAATACTCAGTAAGTGACGCCCTATCGGGGTTATGTAACAATCACATGCAATGAAATGATGGGACCTGTCTTTCGTTTTGTTTTCCTACGGTGTTGTCCTAACGGGTAATCGTGGACGTGTACCATATACTCTACACAGCCCATACGTGTGAGTATGGGCTCAGTAGCTAGTTCTTACACCGTTGGGCCACTTTCCTTATCCGGTGGGCATACTCTGGGAGCCCCTTATGCCGGGACCCGTTAAAATTAGTAACTGTCACGGCAGTGCTATGCAAAGCATAATGATCGTTGTCCTGCCATTGGATGTACACGTCCGTACCCTCGTTGTCCTGCAAAGCATAATGATCGTTGTCCTGCCATTGGATGTATTAGAAAGTAGATACAACCCTTTTAGTCTAGGCTTTACTACTAGTATTTACCATTTGTGTTTACCTTTCCCCCTATATTTAGGTTGTCAAATTTTTTTTTTTTTTATTTGTTGCCTTTTAATTCTGTTCTGATGTATTTCAAATTTACAGTGGATCTCTAGGTGTTTCCTATTTCCTTATCTCAGTGTTTCCTATTTCATTATCTCAGTGTTTCCTATTCAGAAGTTTTCTTGGCCATTTTATCTTTAATCTATTCATTTGGCTACCGATAAAAAATTAATCTAATATTACTAATCTTACGTGATTTACTAGAATCGTATAAATGATTGACATTTAGTTTCTAACTCAAGCTCGACCATTGTAATAATTCAATGAAGATCTAAGTCTAATTGGTTGTGATTTCTAAAGAATAGGATAAAAGAAAATGAAGATTTAATATATACCTGTTGATCAAATCTATCCTGTAAATCTCTGCCACTTTCAACTGGGGCTATTCTCTCTCTTTTTTTTTTTTTTTTTCCAAGTAAATTTGACTATTGTTTTTCTGTTTCTTCTTGCTATTATTTTCATAAGGATGGGTTGAGGAGAGATAATTGTGGGAAGGGATGAAAGGTTAGTGGAGAGAAGTGGGGAAATGTTGTTTTATTTATTATTATTATTATTTTGAGTACTTTTTATAATTATTTTTATTTATTTATTTATTTTTGACTATTACATTAAAGTTTAATATAGGAAAGATGGTTTCATGATGAATTAAGTGCCGATAAAATAGATATGGGAATTATTTTTAGGATGGGTAGATTATAGGATTTGGATTTAATATGATCAATTTCATAACATTGGAAAATGTAAGAAAAAAATGCAAAGAAGATGATTGAATGTAACGCTAGACTGGACGAGCTATGTGTAACACACGAGCTCGAGAAGTATGGAATTTTATGATATTCTATTAAATTTTAAAACTATCAAATTTTATTGAAAACTTTAGAGGACCGATGAGGTAGAAGAGAAAAATACTTGGAAGAATCCCACGAACTCAAGAAAAAGGGAATAAAGTCAACTTTGGAGGGTAAAACGGTCTTTTCAGCCCCTCGCTATTTAAGGGGTCGGTGTTACCCTAATACAACCTTAATTAGGTGGAGGAAGAGGAATATAATTTAACAACCCACCCACGGCCAGATGACAGTCAAACTTCCAGTTTTTCTTTTAAAACTATAATTTTTTAGATTTTATTGCATCCTGACGGCCCAATCTCAAGATAACCATGAAAAAAAACCCCGAAAAATTGAAAAATGTTGGCGAAGTAAACTCGAAAGGGTAATTTTGTCATTCTGCCACTCATTTAATTAAGATTTTATAAAGGTAACCATTGGAGAGCTCCCGATCCAATCACTTAGAGTTCGATTTCGGCCAATTTCCTTCACAAAAGTACTCGGAACCACGAGGACATTCAATCTGAACATTTAAAAAATCGTCTAAATCCATTAAGAAACGAGGAAGATCGGGAGATAAGAGATTCAGATTTTCGTTCTCTGTATTTCTCAAGATTTGTGAATTTTCAATTAATTAGGTTATGAAATTTAAGAACGGTGTTCCATGAAGAATTTCACATACTTTTTGTGAAGAAATCTTTAGAGAAACTGCACTGAAGTCAAATTTACAACGAATCTCAAAGATGTAGTTTTGCACCTATTTATAAAATAACTATGTGTCTCTATGATTAACGAAATGGATTTTAAATTGTTTTGATGGAAAATTGGATTAAAACTCTTGAAGAAACCGAGTTGAATTGAGTTAAGTTGAAAAGTTTAGGAGAAAAAAGAATAATAATAATAAAACAAGATTGAAGGAGACACCATCATGAACCTAATGGGAGATGCGTTGGCCAAAAGCATTGGACGCACATCAAACGGCTAGGCAAGAAACACATCTGCCAATGCTTGGGCACGTGTCGATCAATAAGCGGAGGAATGCTTCAGCGCTTGATGGGGACACGTGTCGCATCATCAGAGGGAGGCTCGAACCATGCTCCAAACTAATTCACTCCACCCTTGCACCAATCTAACTTGACCTGACTCAACATGGAAAACACCTGCCATCTGCTAAAGCTTGAAGAACTCCCAAAGGACCAGCATATTCAGGTCCAATACGTTGTTGTATCCAGGCGGATATTTCTCTTTCTAACCATACAATTACAAGTACGCCGATTGTGATTCCCAATACAGTAGTCAAAATAGGGACAAGCCAATCCTTTTTTTTTTTTTCAAGTTTGTAATATCAGCCCAGGTATTAATTACACGACCTTGACTATCAACTACAGATTGGTTGAAATTGAAACCATTTAAGTTGAAAGCCATAGTGCTAATACCAGAGTTTTCTTATTTGAAACGCCTTGTGACACATCATGTGTCGCAACAAAAACACATGTGGTCCTCCCTTAGATGCATTTGTACTCACAAAGGGTTGCGCGCATAGAAGTTGTTCAGTTGTGCGTGAAGTTGGTAAGAGGGTTTAAGTTAGTTTTTCTAGCCTATTTCGTTTCTCGTTAGACTGTTTTTCACCCCGATTTTATATTGACCTTAATTATTTGAATTAAGACCCGCCAGTAGAATTTTAGAATTTTTGAACTTCTACCTCGCGAAAAAAAACTAGCTTAAAAAGGCACGCAAAATTTGAGGAAGTAGTCATTACCTATATTTTTCAAGTAAGAGTTGTGTAAATATTGCTGGTCTCTACTAGCATGCAAGCATCTATTGCCTAAAGGGGCTAAAATAGGTAGGGGAGAACTCTAGAAAGACAACTTGGAAGTGAATGTTATGTATGTTAAGAAAAACTAGTGAAATGAAGGTTGGGGTAAAAATTTAAATTGCATGTCTATTTGAAAGCTCTCAAGGGAGGAGATGTTTGGGATCTGTGCTCGAGGTTGTTCATGGATGTTATCAATTGGTTGAGCTTGTAGGAATGTTTACGATATGCTTTCCATCATTTAGGTTATTGATAGGAATATCTACCAAACAAACCATGCATGAGTGAACAAAGTTAACATTATAGTTCTAAAGCTTGAGCATTTTTCACATTGACCTAGGTCATTACGTTTCTAATAGACTAAGCACCTTAGAATTGTGAGCGACCATTAGAGGTCTAGACTAGAGTGCATCCATAGATTGGATTAACCATGAGGATCTAAATTCGAGCATCCTAAAAATACGAGATGAGATTTAAAATGTCTAGACGACCCTAAGAACCTAGTAAACCCCCATGACAAAGACGACTATAAAAATTTAACAAGCCTAGTAGTAGGGTCACAAAAGTCTCTGTCTCCTATCTTCTTTCGGTATGCCTTTAGCGCTAGCATCGCCAGCCAAGTGGTAGGAGGTTAAGAACCATTGAGAAAGCCGTATATGGTGGAAATGTTTAGGGTTCTCCTAAAATGGAACTCTGTGCTGTAAAACCATCCTAGGAGTGGGCGTGTGACCACACATGAAACCAAGTAACGAACAAGCATACAAGGTCGCATCCCCACGTTCATAATGACTCTATGGCCCTACGGAAGGATCTGCTAATTAATCTTCCATAGATGATGTTCACACTAGCTAGATGTCATACTATGCTAATAAATTTGATGAGGTAGTAGTTCAACAAGATTATGAGTAATTTATTGGTGTAGCTATACAGGTTAACTAAGTCTATGAATAGGAAATAAATTCAACTGGAGATGAGATTTATCATCTAGTAGACCTGCGACGTTAGAATTGGGTGAACCACCGCTAGACCCATAGTAGGTTTGTTATGGTCATGAGATTGGTTTGAAAGTTTGAAGCCTTCCCATAAGCTCAAAATATCTAATAGAATTTGGTCGAATCTTCTTAACGACGAGAGAAAACTCCGTTGTAACTTACAAGGTTAAGAGTGCGATAAGAGCCTACAAGTAGGTTACTTATTGAACATTTTTATACCCACCTCTTTCCCCATTTTTCTCAGATGTTCACAAGTTACTAGTCAAGGTAGTGGAGCGTTCAAGAGCTGTCCAGTCAAACCAAGGTAGTCATGGAGTGTCAATCCATCTTAATATTCAAACCTACCACGGTTGGTTTATGGACATGGGTAAAGATAACATAAAATTTCGTCTTCATCTTAAGGCGAAAGACTGGTTGGGCCATATACGCAACTATGAGGTTGTTGTGCTTGTTGAGTACTTTTTCTCCA